AAAAATACATACAGTAGTATAATGGAACATACAGTATGTTGGCAAAATAACATTTACAAAAAGTTCAGAACAGTACAGCTGTTAATAATCAAAATGATCGAAGGGCAAATCAACATTATGTATATGAAAATACATAAAGTATATACAAACACACTTATATCTTGAGCAGGCAGAAATGCAGGAGACGCAGTGCTCTGGGTAAACTAGCTGCCAGCATCCTGCCTGACACATTCAGATGAATTGCAGAAATTGATTCTGACAGGCAAATGTCTATTTCCAGTACAGATAAGTACTAGAGCAGAGACTGCAGTTATCTTACTGCTAAACATGAAAACAGTTTCAGGTTAGTGTAATTTCACTATGCACAACCATACACGCAAACACAAGAATTTCCGGCAGTCCAACTCAAAAAATTCAGATGCTATCTACAGCTATGAGATTGTTTAGCAAGCACAACATGAAATAACACATAAGAGTAGAATGTATTTACATTGAGATATATTACTAACAGTAGTCCATACAAGTGCATGATTGGGGCTCTGATAAAAAAAAAAAGATCAGAAAGGCATGTCTTGGTTGTCACACTAAAGATAAGGAGACACCTAAGTACAGATATGATACACAGGAGAAAAAAAATCAGTTTCACAGCTGTATGGTTCATCAAGAACCTAACAATTCATTGACCAAAATCAGAGCTGTCAATCACTTAGGTGAGTGGTTTAGGTTTTCAAATGCTTAGAACGCTAAAACCTCGTTATGAAAACCTCATACAGCATGTCTGATTGAGTATTTAAGTGCTTTATTTTACTTAATAAGCTCAGAAGCATAATATGATGTAAAAAGAGTAAATGGCACATTAAAATCACCCCAAGTCTGAGCCTTATAAAAGTTTCTGTCTGCAGACTTGACAATCATTGTCAAAATGCTAGAGTAATGCTACCAAACAAAATAACATAGAAATAAAAATAAAAAAAGTTAAAGGCAAAAATACAAGAGTGTTGGCACCATCACAGCATCTATGCAATTACTCCATCAGATTAGACACATTCTCGAAATGCATTTCAGTTATGAGGAAGGTTACGATTTGCATGCTTCCTTGTTCCAAAACAATGACAGACGACAGGGAACTGCCACCTCACATATAATAACAGCTTTGGTATGAGGATGAAATCAGCTGTAGCAGTTAAACATTGTGCTACACCTATAGTGCAAGTAGATGTATATGTATGTTAACTGTATAAGTGATAGAAAATATCATTTATCACTCAATATATGTGTTGCAAGGTTGTTTAGATGATTTTACTGTGTTTTTAATATGCATGTAAGAGTCTACAGCTCCATGTTTGGGACAGTTTGCATGTGCGTTTGCAGATGCTTTCAGGGTTTGTGTTGTTTTTCGCTGAAACGGTGTATGGTAACACAGCCATGGTAGGAAATGGGACGAGGCATAGCAGCCGTGCATGTGATGATGCCAGAGGCC